GTTGATAAGTGTCGGTTCAATGTCCAAATCGTTGTAATTCTTGGCAAGTAATGATGACTGTAACATAGCTGGTGAATCATGGTACGGTATTTCTTTGTCTAGGTAGCCGGTTAATGTGATTTATGAATTTGGTGGTACTGTTATAGACTTGATATCTCCACTTCTGATGATTCCAAGACGGTTGCTGTTCTTCGTAAGTTGTTTTTCTCTAAGTATAATACATCTTAGTGCTAGGTACCATGGTGTAGTCAAGCTGCTTTCCTGTAAAAATCTATCTCCTATACTTACCTTTAGTGTATCTATGATGGTTGAAAGTGTGTTGGTTCCTAATAGCAGCGGTACCTGTTTGTTGTATCTACTGTCTGGTATAACTAGAAGTATACATGGGTAATCCTGATGATGACCTGGTATCTGTATGCAAGTTTCAGTATAACCAAGGTATGGTAACTGCTGCCCATCTGCACACTCTATATCCAGCAAGGTTTTGATCTCCAATAATTGTGTCTGTATATGTTGGTTGAAGAAAGATTGGCTGACGGTTGAAACTGTTGAGCCGGTATCTAATAAGGCTGATATTTCCATACCATTTATATTCATCTTTACTTCTGTTGGCTGGCCAAAGAGTCCTGGTGGTGTCTTTACCTGACTGACTTTGGGAACCTTGCTGCTCTGTAAACCTATGGATGTTCCCCCTGCATAGGCTTGTTGGGAGTTTAAATGCTGTCGACTATGGTCCATTCTAACCTTGCATCCTATCTTCAGATGTCCTGTCTGTCCACATCTCCAGCATTGGTATTCTCTGTCAGGGTTATCTCTGCCTCCTCTATAGTTGTTCTGTCCTCTACCTCTATTTCCTCCTCTACCTCTATATTGTTGTTGCTGTTGTCTAAACTGTGGTTGTTGTTGCCATGGTGATGACTGATTGGGTTGCTGCCATTGACTTGGCTTACTTGGTGGTTGCCATGGTGATGGTTGTGTAGGTTGTTGCTGATGGTTCCATGGTGCTTGCTCCCATCTTTTGTCATTCGAATCCAGTCTGGTATGGATCTGATTAATCAAACCTTTGATTTCTTGTAGACTTTCATCCTCAGGTTGGGTTGTAATAGCCTTGCTTATCTGTGTCTTGGTATCTGTTGGTAGTGTTTCACTTCTGCTGCTATAGTCGCTCTCTATCTGCCTTAAAGCTACACGTAGTCCATCAAAATCTCCAATGGTATCATATTTATGTCCTGATATATCCTTCAGGTGTGGTTTCAATCCTGTCCAAATCATTTCATGAAGCATGTTATCCACATCCTGTCTGCGTACAAGTCCTCTATTTACTGCTTTTCCAATAATTCTTTCCAGTCTACAACTCCATGCTGTTACACTTTCTGTTGGTCGTTGTCTCGAACCATAAAACTCAGCTAAAAGCTCTTCCTTCTTGTCGACGCTTCCATATATGCTATCTAATTTCTGGATTATATCCTTAACAGTTGCGTTGAGTTCCAACCTCATAGCTACAAGTCCTGCTTCCCCTCTTAATGATCTTCTTACTGCATTCAGTATAGCATCTTGCTCATAGTTCTGCTTCAGTAAACACTGGACTTCATGTCTCCGTAATTCATATGTGGTATCGCCTGCCTTTGGTTCTGTTCCTGAGAACCAGGCTATCTTTGGTGGATGGTTCATCATCATCTTGGTCACATTAACTGGTTTAGGTGGTGGTACAAGTAGATTTGGAGTAGGTTCAGGTTTCTGTTCCTTGAATGCTCCTTGAGAAATCAGATATTCCATCATCCAATTCTTCAAGTCCTCGGGGGTATCAGCTTTCGGTTTAGCTCCCATCTTTTCAAACATCTCGAAAGTCTTCATCATCTCAGCTGTAGGTGTTTTTGGACTTGTTGGCTGTTCAGTAACAATGTCTTCCTCCTTGAATTTAGTAGCCATGTTGAATAGAAATTCCAGTGTGAAAATCCAGAACAAAATCAAAATCTATCAGGCAATACTGAAAACTGTATATTAAAAAAAATATGCGCGTACAAAATATCCGAGTATAGCTATAACGGTCGAATAATCAGCGTATAATAAGCGAATCGAAAGGTACGACAACTATGGATAATATATATCTATATCTAATATACTACTATAACTCACTGTATGAACTATAATATACTATGCTATGCTCAAGTCCAAGTCTAATCTGTCCACTCAATACCAATGATCAGTCTAAGAAATACTCTAAGTACAGAAATATCAAAGACCAGGTAGTAGTAAAGTAAACTCTAGATCACTAGCAGTGTAGCACTAACCTAAGACAAACTGTATAGCTGGCAGAAACAGTCTCAAAGATGGTAACTAATAGTACAGACAACTAACTAAGATCTCGCTCAAGTGTAAGTGTACAAGTGTTAGTAGGTATGTGTGCAGAGATATGGATGGGTTCACATGCAAAGGAATAAAGGATGGTATCACCTATATAACATGCACTATAACTCTATCATATACCAAGATTCACACTAAGTTTATCAAATGCAAACTTATTTATCACCTATAGTCAGTAAATAAAAAAAAAATATACTAATATCAAAATTTGTCTAAGCCTGTGCTGAAAATTCTATGTAAAAATCAACAATATAACTCAAACTAGACAACTAAATCAATATACATACTAATAAAAATGTCTAATAATTCTCATTTACATGTAACTAACATCACACCTCAACAGCATATACAAATAAATGTTGCGCAAAGTTACAACCTATGTGTTAAGGTATAAATGAAGAAAAAGAAAAAAATTAATCGCACAAATGTTATGCGTGTATGTTATATGCAAGTGTTAATGTGTACGTAAAGTCTCTATATGTAAGGCTTTATCTCACAAAAGTGTATGCGTGTATGCACTATAACCAAAAACAACTGTTCGGGTGACTAAATCAAATAAATTGCAAACTATTGCAAATCAGTGTATTGAAAAATCAATTTTGAATTTTCAAACAATCAATCAATGGTAAGGTGTCACAATGTGCATATGTATAGAAGGTGTGTATGTACTTCCGGTTGACCTTGACCTGTGTTGACCCAATTTGACCTCGAAGGGGGTGGGGGTTGTGGTCCGGTGGTCAAGTATCAATCACAATGTAAAGTAAAAGTGTAAACATGCATGTACATATAATCAATCAACACCAAGTGATGTTCAACATGAACCTTCAATGCTTGGCAAGTGTCACCTATTCTAAAGTGTCTCTAATTTATGTGTAAAAATTCAATAAAGTTACAAATGAAAAATCGTCAAAATTTTCAAAGACAATATTTTCAAATTTCTCAATAAATTCTGAATAAATCGCTACTCAATACCAATAGTCATGTGATAAATATACATATGCATCTATTATAAGTGAAAAGTAACTTACAAATACAAGAATAAACACAAAATATCAGGTACTTTCTTGAACTTGTGGACAAATTTCCATGTGTTGTTTTCGTACTGGCCACAGACCACAATTAATTCCTCTATTAGTTCTTTATAACGTTATGTCTCATTAAAAAAATTGCACCTTGCATTTTTGTCAAATCTTTTGTGTGTGTAATGTATAGTATTAGTCCAAAAATATATCCAAAATTCAGAAAGATTGAACCAATGACTCTTACAAATTTAGCCACTACACAGCCATACCCCTATCGACAAGTCAAGAGATGTTCCGAAAACTGTAAATATTACCTTTTTGCACTTGGCCTAATCACTCTTTCCATATCAAAATCAGTTTAAATACAACATCCAAAAATTTATTTTACCTCTCTTCTTTCACTTCCACCCCATAAAAACTAAGAAATCAATGAAAAAGGCAAAGAAAAAAAATTAAGAAAAAATACACTTTAATTAAAGGGAACTATATTCGTGAACAACGAAAGGTGGGGTCATTAATTGTGGTCTTGGGCCTATTAGACCCTTTTTTTCAATATAATACCCCAAAAAATGGCACGCATTAAGCTTATTCTATATCGAACTAGCATACCATATATCAAATCAATCCGACAAGTTTTATGGCAGTTCTGATAGTTTTAATGACACTACCCTCATGTTGATAATTCTAGTTGTTTTCTGGCATGAAACTTTCAAAACATGTAACTACTAGGAAAAGTAAAAGTTTAATAACTTTCTTGTTAAACATGATATCTTAAAAAAGTAAAATGTCTATAGTAGCTAAATGGTTAAATTTCTAGAATCTGAAAGAACATTTATCAAAAATTATGTTTTTTAAATTGAAATTATTTTTTTTCTAAAATTCTTGTAAATTTAGTGAATATACCAACACTGAACATAAATAAAATTCCATTAAAAATATTTAAAAAGAAAATTAACTTTCAAAACTTATCTTAAAAAATTGCTTATCTTATATGTAATAAGTAAAATATAACATAAACCCTAATCAAACAAATTTCACAGGTACTTGGCCTGTTTACCTGAGGTACCAATATTCATGTGTAACATCAGGTCAGATTACATGTAATGAAAATTTCAAACTAGTGTAATTTCTTTATTCCTTGAAATATTACTCTGAAATAAACTTTTTAGTAAAGTTTTCTGTTATGTTTATTTTTATAGATAAATAGATTTTAATTTTATAACAGATTTCTGTAAGAAAAATAGTTATTAAAAAATATATTGCATTTTGATAAAAAAAATTATAAAAAAATTAATAAAAAAAATAAATATGCTTCTTTGTTAAATTAATCTCTCAATAAATGATAAAGTAACATTTTTCAATAGATTTGGATGAAACAATCTTAATCTGGACCCCTAATAATAGAATAATTGGCTTAGTTGGATACTGCTAAGAAAACTCTGTTAATTCAGAGTTGCCTCTGAAGGTGGTCTCTTGAAATCTACACCACAGACTGCATCAAAGGAAAAAATGTACATCAAAGCAGATATCATACAATGCTTGATTATAAATATAAGGATGTCCAAAGTTTATGCTATCAGTCCAAGTTGGGATATTAAGGATCCAGCTAAATTTTCAAAATGTTCACTAAAGGCTATACCAAGAACAGGTCAAAGAAAGACAACTCTCCAAGAAATCCTGGATGGTTCCAAGCTGGAAAACCCAGTGGTAGAAGCCAAAGCCAGACATCAATACCGATCCCTCAATCAGGTAGTGCACGTACTTCCCATGTGCGGCAAACTTTTCAATCTTCTGACTGCAAAATAGAGACGACTGGTAACATCTGTACTCTTCGCTCGCAAGCTGACCTGGAAAGAGAAGAAAATAAAGCATTACATTTTGGTATGAGGTGGATAGACAGTCAACGGACACTCAGCTTGTACAACAGTACTTATGATAAACACCAAGTGGACTCACCATCCTGTCCTAAATTTAATGTTGACTATCATGAACAGAAAAAGTGGGGAACTTGCTGGCAGTATACCCTGAAATGCATAACTTGTGGTTTTATTGGAGACAGAATAAAGATGTACAAAGAAATAGCTAATGGCAAACCAGGACCCAACCAAGGACAACCAAATGTAGCCCTTGCATCTGCTTTGCAGGACTGCCCAATTGGAAATACAACAGTGCAGCAACTCCTTGCAGGAATGGACACACCACCACCATGTCGAAGCAGTATGCAACGCACATCCAGTAGAGTAGCAGCTGAAATGGTCAAACTGAACAAAACAGACATGGCACAGAAACTGGAACTAGTAAAAGAAGACAACAGAAAGCGAGGTGTCCCAGAAGATGAAATTAACATAACTGTGGATGCTCGATACAACAGCAACACAATTGTTAGTAAAAAGAAACCCGGTCAGAATGCCACTCAAGCATTTGCCCTTGCAATAGAAACAATGACAGATAAAAAGTATATAGTAGCTGCAGTTGCGCAGAATAAGATGTGTTAGAAAGGGGCTTGGCTTAGAGGAAAAGGCTTTCCAATAGAATGTCCTGGCCATGAAGAATGTACAGCAAATTTATACAGAGCTGCTGCCCTGTCAGAGTACGAGCTGGGAATAGAGATAGGAAATCAGCTAGGACTCCAGAAATGTCTTGTACGGTATGTGACCACAGATGGAGATGGACGTTCAGCTAGAGGTATTGAAGACGCCCTTACAGCTCTCGAACCAATGTGGAAAGTGGAAAGACTGGCAGATCATGTACATTTGGGACAGTCTCAATTCAGGGCCTCTTTGTGAGCTCAATACAGTGCCGGAATGTTCCATGGAAAAACAAAAGAGGAAAATAAACAACTGAGGACGGTGTTTAGCAAAGATCTAAAGTGCAGATGCTCCATGATATTAAAGAAACTGATGGAGAAATATGACAAAAACATTGATGAAATAAGCAAAGACTTACCAAAAGTGCTCGAGGCAACTCTTCGCTGCTATGATAGTGACTGCACCCTGTGTCCGGAATATTCCATTGTCTGCAAAGGTGATGCTGCACTTAACTGGTGGAGTCGTTCATCGTACTTGTCCACATACCAGATCACTGCCCTGCAAATGGATAAAACAGATAAATTTTTACTTCAAGAAATCCTGAAAATGAAATTAACTTCAGCAGCTATTGAAAGTATGAAACTTTATGACAATACAAACAAAAATGAAGGAGTACATAGAGCACTGAGTCTTAATTTGCCCAAGAATGTAATTTACTCCAAAAATATGGAAGGACGACTTGCTTCGGGAGTACATAGAAATAACAACATGCCGGGAACCTCGACACAACTGAAATGTACAAATCTAGGGGTAGACCTTTCAGAACGAAGTAAACTTCACCTGAAGAAAATGGACACTAACTTTCAATACAACCGAGATTACATACTAAGACCAGCAGTTCAAGAAAGGAGATTAAAGCAGAATGCAGAAAAGCTTGCAGAACACAAGACATGGAGAGAAATGAACAAAAAGCATGACTATTACTGCAAAGGTCAACTAGATCCACAGCCTGCCTTACAGTTCCAGGACCATGACAGCTACTGCAAACCAAAGCTTCCAAGACCTGCTGCAGACTGAGAAACCAGAGCCACCAGCAAACAAAACCATAAAAGGTCCTTTTCAGGACCACCCAAATATCAAAAAAAGAATCTAAAGTTGTTGTACATTAGCTTCCAATTTTGTTTTCCTTTTTTTCTCCCATTCTGATAAAAATATAAAATTTTGGCCTGCCCCAGAAAAAAAAAGAAGTAAAATGAAAATAAAAAAGTACCCGATAATTATTTTACCCAAATTATTATTGTCCATTTTTAACTCCACTCTGCAGGGAGGGAGGGGATCTGGGTGGCCTAAGCAGGAACCGGTTGAAACGCATGACTGCCGGCTGTTGTTGAAACCATGAGGTTCCAACGACAGATGTTCGACACTAATGCATTTCGAATTGTGGCACAGGTGCGAAACATCATCAGTTTTATCAATAAAAATATTCTGATGATGCACCATGTAGGCAAGCCTGTGCACATGCATTTGTCTCCACCCCCTGGCATCTGGAAATTTACAATTAATAACTCCATGTTTGCCATTAGGTGTACATAAACCTGTCCAAATTTGACACTGCCCATTATAGCCAGGTGCAGAGCTATCTCTTAATTTTTGACTATATTTTAGATAAAATGCATCCATTTTGAAGATGTGATGTTTTGTAAGACAATAGAGTAGTAATATATTCTAAAATATAAAAAGAGTCCAACATTATTGACAGAAAGGGCTGAAACTGGGGTCAAAGGGCTTTCAGTGCATCAAAATGGCCAAAAATGCCTAAAATTGCATATTATAACCGGTTTAAAGATAAGTATTGAATAAAATTACAATAAACCAATAATATTTATCATTTCAAGTGACTTTCTGCCAAAAAAGTTGGTCCTTTCTTTATTTTCAAGAATTTGGGTATCAGCCTCTTAGGCCACAGACCACAATTAATTCCTCTATTAGTTCTTTATAACGTTTTGTCTCATTAAAAAAATTGCACCTTGCATTTTTGTCAAATCTTTTGTGTGTGTAATGTATAGTACTAGTCCAAAAATATATCCAAAGTTCAGAAAGATTGAACCAATGACTCTTACAAATTTAGCCACTACACAGCCATACCCCTATCGACAAGTCAAGAGATGTTCCGAAAACTGTAAATATTACCTTTTTGCACTTGGCCTAATCACTCTTTCCATATCAAAATCAGTTTAAATACAACATCCAAAAATTTATTTTACCTCTCTTCTTTCACTTCCACCCCATAAAAACTAAGAAATCAATGAGAAAGGCAAAGAAAAAAAATTAAGAAAAAATACACTTAAATTAAAGGGAACTATATTCGTGAACAACGAAAAGTGGGGTCATTAATTGTGGTCTTGGGCCTACTCGAGTACCGGATGTCGAACTGTCAACAATGGCCACACTCGATTACAAATTCTAGAATACGCCGGCCGGAGCTACGGCTTCACTATTTCTCTTCCTTGGAATATTCCGGTCGGAGCCAACGGATCCTTTTCTATCTTGATGTTTTGTCATGAATCCTTCACTATCCTCCAAAAACGTGGACGCCACAATGTAGTCGCACTATCTGGGACGTAAATAAATAGTAGACTATGTAGGGTTCTGGATAGTTTTTATTATCGTGAAGCATCAAATGAAACCCTGTAATATAATATCACATTTAATAACATAAATTTACGTAATCTGTGTACTTACAAAAATTAACCAATTAACTGTAAAATACGTCACAGTTTATGAAGTTAACAAAATACACAATTAAACCTTATCTTATCAAAATATTACTTCCTGTGACATTCGAAACAGAATTTAACTTGTCAAAAGAGCAAAATAGAAATATAGTCTCTCATTTAGCAATAACATTATAATATACGAATTAGCCATTAAAACTATTAACAAACAGTCTAAGCAAAATAAGCATTAATAAAGCCAATAGCGAAAAGCAGTTAACTAATAAAGCTAAGCTAAGCAAAACAAAGCGAAATAACTAAGCTAATAAAATAATAAGCAACTACAACTGAAACACTCATTCTTACCTCGTATGAGGTACAAAGGTTATGCCTCAACGTATTACTACATCATATGCAGAACTCTGTCATAAAACCTGTATAACAAATACTAAATTATAGTTACTATGCACAGACTTTTATAGGACTTAAAATCTATTAATCTGAGACAAAAATGTTATAAAGACTCTGAAAAGTATTTATCAAGTTAACATTTTACTCATTTACTCTCGGACTCATTCTGCTCAAATATTCGCCATTCATTACGTTTATCTTTACACTTATTTATTTCCAGGCTTAAATTATGTAACTCAAATGTAAAATAATAATGTGCCTGTTATAAAAGTTACGTTAATCTTTTAAATAATTTACAACATTCATTCACCAATCAAACGATACACATTCTTACTACGAAGTCATGCTAAAATGGAAAATTACTCGTGCGTGAAATACTGATTAATCCGGTAATAAAATTACGATGAAAATAAGATATAGACAGAATATCTAAAGAGATAAATAAACAAACTGACCTGGAATAATCGTGGAATTCCTCCAATACAAATAATACAAAATATGAAACAGCAAATACAGACTAAAGAAAATATATGAAACGTCTGTTCGGTTTGAACATCAATCCACAATTAACTATAGACTTCAATAGAAATAAACCGCCAAAAGATATATAACCAATGAAATAGCAGAAAGTGTGCGGTCAAATCAAGCGTAAAACACTGACCATCAAAATAGTATAAGTGAGTAACAATCAAGACGAAACTAGTCAATCGTCAAAGTCTGTGAATATAAAATACGAATAGTACAACTCATAATTAATTACAATCCGTAATTAATCTATTTGAAAACGAAAACACAAATATGAATTAGGAATAAAATCATCTTTATTTTAAAGTAAATTTAAATAAGAACTAAAATGCAAATTACAAAATCATATTAATATTTATTCAATCATGAATAAATACACGCTAGCACATACTCTTCCCTGATCTGAAATGACGTCCCGTCATTTGCTATGTGGAGTTTTAACAATATCTGAAATCGTCTTTGCTGCTTCTGATTGTAGATCTTCAAATAAGTTGGTCTCTGCCAATGATGTAATACACTGGATCCTCTGGTACCAATCTTTCTCTGTAACCAAACTAGCTGAATGCGATGTGTCATACTTACCTGACCGCATCCAAGCTGGTTGTCTCCTTTCCCTGGTAGACCGTCTAATAGTCGGAGAAGATGACGACGAACTGTCTTCAGGTGGATTCTCCTGCTGTTTTATGTCATTTCTACCATCTAAAGCGCGTCTCTGTTCTTCTTCGGAATCTGTCTCATCTTTATTTTAAAGTAAATTCAAATAAGAACTAAAATGCAAATTACAAAATCATATTAATATTTATTCAATCATGAATAAATACACGCTAGCACAATAGAAAGGCCACATTTCAAATTTTTCAAAAAGTGCTGTGCCTTGTGATATAGCGTTCGTGTAAAAGAAATTTCACAATCCGAAGTGCCAAAAGGTCAATAAATCGTAAATATTCTCCACGATTTATTGTTTTTTATTTATAACACCTCTATTAAAAACTAGGCACAACACTTTTCCAGTAAAATAAGTTATCCTGATTACAGGGAGCCAAAAACCAGGGCAATCGGATTTCATCTTGCACCTGCTCTTTTGATTTTTTTAGGAAATGTCCTTACTTTCAGTTTGAAGTCACGTGACACTAGTGTATTTATATTTTTCTATAAATAAAAGTTTGGAATGTGATTCAGAATAGACCCTTTTCCCCCTGTTTACGCTTGTGACGTGCATTTTAACCTTTAAGCAAAGAAAACTAACTTTGAGTTCAATATGATTTTTCCTGTGTATAAAAATGGGATATTTCTTGAAACGCCCTTAACGTTCCTGCGGGCCGGCATAAATTGTCTAAATACGGTAAAATGTCTATGCACACACTCGGATTCGAATAAAGATAATGCGATATATTTATTTATGAATGGTAGCATGGAAGCTTACGGAGTTTGTTCATACCTCGATTCATATGATAAGGGTTCACTCTTAATGTAAACAAATCGAATATCACCTTTAAAACATCTAACAATACCAAGCCTAGAACTCATGGCTGCAATAATTGGAAGTCAACTTATATATCACCAACTTTTGACTTGAATTAATGTTAATCGTGTCATATTACGGAGCGATTGCCAAATTCCGTTGAGCTGCGAAAGTTCAAACATGACGTTCAAACAATTTATCACCAATCGAGTAAATGACATCTAAGAACTGACAGGGGAATACTGTCCAAGTGAATTCAGTCCCACCGATTTGCTATCAAGAGAAATAACAAACGAAAAGTTCTTAGACAACGTGTAATGGATGAACGGTCCTGATTTGTTAACAACCCAAAAGAAATACTTAATACGCAAGAAATACAGAATGCAACGAAAACTTTGATTCAGGAAGTAGGGTAAAGACAATATATGGACTTCAAACAAACGCTTACAAATAGGAGGGACCAAGACACACAACTAAGTTGAACAACCGAGACTTCTTTTGGATAAGAACAAATTGATTCTATGTAAAGGACGGATTCCCAACGCACCATTGAATGAATCTACAACATTTTTGCTACCTACAAAAGATAGACTAACACAACTCATTGTAATGGATGATTACATTTCACAATTACACTCACATGACTCAGGCATGTCAGTTACCGTCACATTACTCCGTCATATTCGATATCAACTACTTATATACGACAAGTTTGAAACAGTATCTTACGTAAATGTTTGACATGTAAAAAATGTAAAGGCCGACCGTATACAGCCGCAGGTAAACCACCCTAAACGAAGAACAGACTACACGAAACAACGTCGTTCATAGTAATCGGAACGGATTTCACTCTTGTTCTGACAGTGAAAAATAGTGATTGAACAACTAGTAAAGATTACATAATTTATTAAAAAGGAACAATGGAAAACAAACAGGATTGAAAGAAAAGTAAACGAGTATGTTTATAACAAAAAATACTTTTTTGTTTTATCTTACATTTATTGACACAGATGGACGACTTCAAACTATAATATATCATACACTAAGCAGGGTTTTCCCTGGGTCAAATTTTTTTCGCCACCTCTTTCGCCAAAACAATATATTTTTTGCCACTTTCAAATTCTTTTCGTCAACTATCAAATAACATAAAAATATTTTTCTTTAAAATTTTCCTTCTTTCTCACAAAAAAAAAATCAGTTTGACCCATTGTTGTCTATGTGAAATATACAAATCTTTTTTTTTAAATCTATTGTAATGATTTAACACTAACCATTTACTTTTCAAAAGATACAGTAAAATTGAAATATATACATCATGAAATCATATTTTTTTACTTCTGAGAACACAAGATGCATTTTCAATAAGTTTATCGGATATATATTTCCCGTCTAGTGAAAGGATTAAGACTAAAGTCAGAGATTTTTCTTACAATTTTATTTATTTCTTCGTAGCAAAAGTTCGGACCATCGTAAAAAGAAAAAGTCGAAACGTAAAACTCTGCTTGAAATACGTGCGTCGCTAAAGCAGTTGTAAGGTACCCATTTCAAATCGATCATTTCTATCAAAGTTAAAGGATAAAAGTTTAAAAAGTCGGAGATTTTTCTTGCTTTTAAACAATTTTCGTCGTTACAACAATTTTCTTCTCCGGATCATCGTTAAAAAGAAAACGAAGAGAAGTAAAACTATGCATCAAACACGTGCGTTTCAAGTTGCAAAGTTGTAAATAAATCCTTTAGGTGTCATGTGACGCCATTTTACCACATCATTTCGTAAAATAAAACAATCAACACCTTTATTAATTAATCCATTGTTGCCTACAGCTGTATAATGCACTCAGGTTAGGGACTTTCCGTTTTGAATTTTCCTCGGAGTTCAGTATTCTTTTGATTTAACTTTTTTCAGCTGATTATTGATTTTCTGTAAAAGATGTTACGAGTTCAATGTGAATTCCGAATATTGTCTGATCAGGCAAAGTTCGAGAAACCCGAAAAAAAGTAAACAAGATGGATGAAATCGATTTTTTTATTTCTTTCGCCAAATTCTTTCGCCAATAATGAATTTAAATCGCCACAATTTTTATTTTTTCGCAAAATGCGAAAATGGCGACCGCCAGCAGACACCCTGCACTTAGCATGTTTATCTATTGTCATACAAATTCATAATATCAAATGAAATTAGTAAATAGGGCTAATGTAGTCCTTATAATTAATTAAAGTAACATTCATTTTTAGTTGAACATTG